CCTCCTCGCAGATTTTGTGAGACTATATCTCTTCGAAAGGAAGGCTTTCACAGCAAATCTACAGTGCGCGTCAATTGTATATGCCACCCCCTGATTTGTTCAGTTTTGTGACTTATTTGGAAATTTCGTAAATCGGCATAGCAACCAACGTTTTCAGCGTGTCGGAGAACTAGGAATGGTGTTGTTTGATTTTGGTTAACGCGTGGATTTGAATTGCTCTGTTCTTTGGAAGAAAATGGGCCGCGTCAATTGCTTATGCCATCCTCAGAATTTCTCATGTCTCTAACGCAACTCAGCTACGGTGTGCATGTAGTACAAATGAGGAAATCCTCGACTTATGCGATGCACACAAATGGTAGAGCATTTATAACTAATTGGTTCGGAATGCTAGCCCCAATACTGGACGGTAGCAGCATGAAAACGCTTTATCAGAGAAAGTGCTGTATGTTCAGACTTTCGATCGCTCCTGCTGCTTATTGTAGGACTCATCGAGGAGTGTATCCAGGCAAAACTGGGGAAATTGAAGTGCTTCAGGAGCCCTTACATTCACATTTTCCCGCTTTGAATCCGTGGTCAACTTTATTTGTGGTCTTGGCTCCCTGCGAAGCTCGAAGCATTCAGGCCCACAAAGTCTCTTTTCTGAGAGAACATGACTCGTACCTACTACCCGTTTGGTACCCATCACTGGACTCGATCGAAGTTTTCTTATCAAGGCGATGCAATGATGGCCCATGCCACCACTTCGGTGTCCCGTTCAATTTACAACTGGCCCATGTCATCGTTTTCGTTCGCTCGGTACGAAAATTTTTCCAGAGAGAATCCGACAAAGTTCGGCGATGGGTCCTACGCGGATTGTGAGTGCAACTCATATTCTCTCCGAACAGAGACTTTGTGAGCGTGAGCGCTTCGAGCTTCGCAGGAAGCCAAGACCATAAACAAGGTTGACCACGGATTCAAACCGGGAAAATGAGAATTTAAGAGCTCCTTGAGCACTTAAATTTCCCCAGTTTTGCCTTGATACACTCCTCGATGAGTCCTACAATAAGCAGCAGGAGCGATCGAAAGACTGGACACACAGCACTTTCTCTGATAAAGCGTTTTCATGCTGCTACCGTCCAGTATTGGGGCTAGCATTCCGAACCAATTAGTTATAAATGCTCCACCATTTTTGTGCATTGCATTAGTCGAGGATTTCCTCATTTGTACTACATGCACACCGTAGCTGAATAGCGTTAGAGACATGAAAAATTCTGAAGAAATTTTAGGATGGCATAAGCAATTGACGCGGCCCATTTTCTTCCAAAGAACAGAGCAATTCAAATCCACGCGTTAAACAAAATCTCTTAGTTTTCCGGCACGCCAAAAACGATGGTTGCTATGCCGATTTACGAAATTTCCAAATAAGTCACAAAACTGAAAAAATCAGGGGTTGGCATACACAATTGACGCGTACTGTATTATCGGTACACAAACAAATATGTTCCCATCCCACACTCCATATTATTTGTTGATCCATATTATTTGTTGAATCCAACACTCCACTGCTACTGGAACGTGCTATTCATTCGATGACACTTGCGTTCTAGCGCCCCTTTTCAGCCCTTATCAGCTGTTATCATATTCGGTCACCCACCAAATATGTTCCCGTCCCGCCCTCTTCATGACTTGTTGGAGCCGGCGCCTAAATGCTGTTTGAAATTGCACTATGAATTCCGTGACATTTGTATTCTAGCGCCTCTTATAAGCCCTCGTCGCTTTTTGGCCCGCACCAGATATGTATGTCCTGCCCATACCATTATCAAACTTAAAATGCCGCGCTCCATGGCTGCAGCGAAGCATGCTATCAATTTTGTGACAGACGGACACACACACACATACATGCAACACATTTAAAATGAGGTTGACGGGACTTTTGGAGTGGTCTGGTGGTTCCACGCGCATGTCGCCGCGGACCTGCGGCGATCCGGACGTTTCACGCGAGCTTTTTGAGTGCGAATTCAAAGCGTCAAAGTACGGTGCGCAGATTGCGGGTAAATGTCGTTACGATGTGGCGGCCTGAGGAAATTTTCCTTTTGATGCTTAATTAGGGTGTCAGAGTAAAGAAAGGTTCCAGTAGGGATGGAGATGAGGAAAGAGCTTATAGAATTGTGTCGCTCATTCAAAGCGAATGCGACGGAGACATTGGAATTAGGAGTTGTTCACCAAATTTGTTTTTGGGTTAACCGTGCAACGTTCTTTCAATCACGCTTCAGGAGTGAACACCGAAACAGAGGGCCGATGGGAGATGAGGATTTATGACCTAAATGCGAAGACGTCGAAGGCGTAGGAAAAACCCGAATTGCGCTTTTACTTTCTGCTCCCTCCCGTAAAGCTCAGACGCCGAGCCAGAAGGCGAGTGAATAGGCTCCAAGACCCTCGCCACCAAGAGTCGAACCTGCCGTGCGCGTTCGCCAACGGCACGACGAGAGGATTCTCGCAACATGCTGGCGAGAGAACAAGACAGACGCTGGCTGCGGAGGATGTGAGGGTGAATGTTTGCCGCGTGAGAACGTGTCGTAATCGGGCGAAACTGCGCGCAAACGGCCACCCCCCCCCAGCCCCCCGCCCCCCCCCCACTGGCGTGTGAAAATTGCTCAAAGCAGGTTGACTCTGCCCCCGACATGAAGGTCGACGCTTGAACAA